TAAAGAATATCACAAGGAAGTCGAGACCACAGTCTTCCGGCTTTTTGTGGGAGTCCGCTTAATACTTCATCGCAGGCTCATTCTTATGAGCAACACCTAGAAAAGCAAAAAATATATGAAAATTTGAAAAAGAAAAGAAGCCATATCCAAAGGTATGGACCAAGCCAACGAGGTTAATGAGTCTTTTATTATATGGCGAGGCATCGGAATGCAAAAGAGGCAGATAAAGGAAAAAAATTGAAAGACCTCGAGAACTCATTGGAAGGTCTTCCTGTACGTGCTACAAGTCATGTAAGTTTGATATGTGTTGCTCAGGTTTTTAATTTATTATTGAATGGCTTTAGCTATAGTTTAAATAATTTTTTCAACATTCTTTTACTGAACCGTTGAAGCTTTCTTTTGAAAAAAAATTAATGCAAAGCAGAGATGACATGCATAGAAATAAGACTAGAGAACAAGCTCAAAAAGAGAACTGTCGTTATGAAAACTTCATTAAGATTCACCAACAAATTATAGTGGAAAATACTGCTGCGGTCTTCTGTCTGTTTTCGTGTCTTTTATTATGAATAATCAAAAACTCGAGGAATAGGCATGAATATATGACGGTCTTTGAAAAGTTTCATTCAACATTGATAGTTTTTCGTGACTTCGACATTTTCACTGAAGCAAGCTGGCAAATGAAGACACACTTTCAACTCTTTCAAACATCTTAAAATTCAACTCTCAAAGAGAAATAATATGAAATATAGATATAAAGTTACTTTAATTAATATATCAAGATAGGATGAGCTGACCTTGTAAAAAAATACAATTTCACTTGGTAAAACTTCGTGGTTTTTTAAGCTTATCTTGATTGTTCGTCAACAAATCTGTCGCTTATTTTAAAGTAAAGTTTGGAAAGAAACTGTGCAAGGGAGTCTGGTATGTAATGGGTGACGCTATAAAGCCAGTGACCTAATAGTGTCCCTAATAATTGCATTAAATCTTAAAAGGATCAGTAGATACAGTAATGTAGAATTGATTATAACATTGTTGAATAGTGAACTGACTATAGCATATATATGTACCAAAATGTTCATATTGTTGATGAAAGGTTGAAACATCGAATACATTATGTTATTCTTGGCAATAAATGTATTTGGTGATGCACGTGTTCGTACCATATGTGAAAGTACCATAAGACTAAAGCCTCGCAATCAAGGAGGCTCAAAACGATTTTTCTCGACGTAGAATTGCAAAAGGAAAATTTTGTCTTCAAAAAAAGTTTTATTATTCAAAATCAAACTAAAAAAAAATCGAAAACTCTGTGGTGAAATTTCTTCAAATTTTGCATATGGATTTGGTTGATGGTTTCAGGAAAATTTTCTTAAATCTGTAACAGGGAACTATTCCAAGCAAATTTTATTGATTTTTACGAATTCCCTCGTACATACATTTTTTTCTTTTTTCGTCAAAACGAAGATTACGATACAAAGTTTATAAATCCCGGTTTTTTAAAAATTTCACCATTTGGTTCCTGAGTTACGATTTTTTAAAAGAACATTTCCGATGGAATAACAAGGGTTCTGATGTTGTCATGGCAACGTCTCACATCATTTTTTTCATGTTCATTGTGATCTTTGGTTTATAGTCTTTGGCTTTCCTGGTTTACTTTCTGTCATGTTATAGCCATATTAATTTTTTTAGTTCATAATTGTGAGTATATATGAAGGAAAAAAACTCTTTCCAGCCTCCCTAAGTCTGAATTAAGGTATCGAACGGTTCTTTTTACTTAGGCGTAATGTTTCTCAATTTCACATCACGTGTCGTTGTCTTGAGAATAAGATTCTTTGATTCCCGAACAATACCCCGTCTTTTCTCATACAAAAAAAATCAATTGTTTGGTCCCCCAGAACAATTCCTCGAGGAACTCAGTGCAAGGGGTGTATAATATCCGCTGCTCACTATGATATACACGTGTAAGACAACTTTACCGACACTCCACGTCTGCGACCTTATTGCCTTTTTTTACTTTATTATTATTTACCTTATTTTTCTTTCTTCCTTCCTTCCTTCCTTCCTTCCTCCCTCTCTCCCTCCCTCCCTCCCTCCCTCCAAGGGTGACGACACCAAGGAGGCAAAATACAATAATTAAACAAGTTCGTTCTTACCAGTTAACCTTAAGTATCAGCCTACGCCATCATTTTACAACTCCTACATAAATTTCCTTGTCATATCTTTTCCATCCTTCCGATGTTTTTTTTTTTTTTTTTTTCGAGGTATTTTCCTTTCTTCCTTCCTTTAACCAGATGGCATGCCAAGTGTGGGGTAAATACAAAACTCTAGCCTTTTGAATTTTATCTAGTTTCGCCTACATACACATCAATAAAAATGCTTTGGAGAAAATGAATTCCTTTGAGTATTACCTCGCCATGTGACGTCATCCCGGGAAAATTGTCTATGAACCCTGGTTTTCTCGCTTTTTCTCAACAAGATATTTTGTAAATCATTTGTTTTCATTTTGAGCATTTATAAAATCATTGTTGATGAACCTCCTGAGTCAATTGTCTATATATATTTTAGCAATCAGTACTTTGGCATTTTTCTCGCATAAAATCATTGAAATTGTAAAACCCAGTATTCCAAATGTGAACCAATTTAAAATTCGCTCTGTGAGTTATTCGTGCCCTGACTTCTTAGATCAAACGAGAAGGTGGTTTCGTGGTATATGTGAGTCAGGGCCCGCGGAACACACTAAAAAGGGGGGGGCTGGCATATGAAAATTAAGCATATTAAGCATCAAATTTCGGGGGGGACGTTTTTTATTTATATTCGTATTTTTTGCGCAAAAAGTGCGTGTAAGGGGGGAAGGGGGCTCCCCCAGCACCCCTGGCTCCGAGGCCCCTATGAGTCAGCCGTGCCCCGCTGACTTAGATCAGTCGGTTCAATCTGTGAGTTAGCCATGCCCTGACTAGATCAGCCCAGAGGTTGTTTCAGGGTTTGATCTGTGAGTTAGCCATGCCCTGACTTAGATCAGCCCAGAGGTTGTTTCAGGGTTCAATCTGTGAGTCAGCCATGCCCTGACTTAGATAATTTGACTTAGATTTTATGCAGCGCAAATACTGTAGGGTATCGATGGCGGAAATTTTAAAGATTTGAAGACTTTGAAAAAGTGGGTATCTATTAGTAAAACATGACAATCGTTTAATTCGTGCTGTTTCCGGTTCACACGTGGGCGAAGATACACGTCAAAAAGTATTTAAAAGAAAAAAGAAAAAATATTGTCCATTTTTCCCACGCAAAGATTAGATAACTAATCGACAGCGAGGCATAAAATAAAAATAACAGTGAAATGATATGAGAAATAACCAGATTCTTAAAAAATATAGAATAATATTTCATGGAAGGCTATCCTATAAATACTATATACATCTATTTTGAAAACTAAAATCTGAGAACGAGTAGAACGCTGCAAATGAGTATTTAGCAATGGATGAAAATACCAAGCTGGGTTACCTGTGGTCACGGTTGGTCAAGGCAGTCTCAAAACGTGAGTAGAAAAAAACGTTGAAGACGAAAATTCACGCGTTGAGGAATATGATGATACATTTGGTTGGGGTTGACTTTGAACAAGGGGGACAATATTTTCTAGATTTCGTTTTGGTTGGTTTGATTCTTTCTTTCTTTCTTGGCTTTCTTTCTCTCTTTCTTCCTTCCTTCCTTCCTTCCTTTCTTTTCTTCTTTCTTTGATTCCTTCTAATTTCTTTCCTTTCTTTCCTTATCTAGTTCCCTCCCTCGCTCTCTCTCTCTCTCTCTTTCTGTCAGCTATAGTGAGACAGCCTTGACGTACTTCTAGCAAGGCATGGGTCAGAAGGATCACGCAGCTGATCATGAGTGCAATCTTTGGCTCCGTCCCGACTGCATCTAGGATAAAAGCAGAGTATTTATTTTATATAAAATGGAAATTGAAAAGAAACAGCTTATTTATGTTTAACATTTGGTGTGTTGAAGATAAAAAATTGCATGATCAAAAATATCTATTCTCTTCTCGTCTTTTTCCATGCCCCATATACGAGCTAGGGTTCCTCGATCTGTAATAAGTTAGCCGTGCCATATGGTTAGATCAACCCAGAGGTTCAGTTCAATCTGTAAGTTAGCCGTGCCCTCACTTAGATCAGCCCAGAGGTTGTTTCAGGGTTTGATCTGTGAGTTAATCATGCCCTGACTTAGATCAGCCCAGA